GAACACGAGGACAACTTCCCACACGCTTCAGAGACTTTATCATGACTTAATCACCCAAATATACACAAATAACGCTCACTGTAAATCAGACCGAGATCTGGGGGAGCCTTGTTATAAAATAAAATGACATATCTCGGCTGATTTACAGGCAAATACTCAAGAGCGAGAACCGGATGTGAACGGGACAAAGCCCCGTCACAAAATAACCATTATCTTTCTTCACAAATGTTTCCGACACACGTGTTCCAGTCGAAAAATAAAATAATATTTAAAGTGCTCTATTTTTCATCCAATAAAAATGCTTTCCTCCTAATTATACTCCCTTCGTTTCTCGAGCCTGTTAAGCTATAAAAAACGCTATAAAAGGGGTCACAGGGAAGTTCAGCGGCAGTCAACAGGTGGCCACAAAGGAGACCAGTCACGTTTAACAGCTGTCAGGAGAGCGTCAACCACCATCAACATGTGTGAACTACTATGAGAGATCGACCTAGATCCGAAAGCCGGCTTATGAACTTTACCACACCAAGGTAGCTGTCCTAAACCCTTACGACGCTTGTCTATAACATATATATATATATATACACACACACACAGTCTGTCTGAAGTTATAATGTAAATCACATAAACCTCAAGAACTCAAATTTGTTTTAAACAGTTTCTGTCAAATTTTCAACGATTAATTTACATGTCAAAATAAAACTTGAATTAAATCCTTAGGTAGTTTCCACATGTTTTATTAAAGTTCTTGGATTTATTATAAAAACAGCAGTTTGAAGTTATTATGCAGATTAAACTAGTGTTAGTAATAAAAAATATATTTATAAGTTGTTTTTTTTTCATAATATATGTTGAAACATAGATAATGTAAAGGATCTAACAAATGCTGAGAAGCAGAAAATCACAAAGTTGTTGAATAAGGGAATTGGAGATATCAAAGGAGCTTCATAGAGATTGTCAAACAATAAAGAGGACTGTTGAAATTATACTAAGTTGATAACTAGAAGCAAAGGAAAAAGCTTTCAGAACTTGTCTCCTCAAGGTGAATATTAAATAAACTGAGTTATAGTGAAACAAACACTTTTGGCAGATCTTTGCTGGAATTGAAGGAGTCAAGAAAGACAAAAGTAGTAGAATATTTGACAAATTGGCATCTGTCAAGAAATTTCCAAGGCAAATTCATCTTATTAAATCAAATATTTTAAAAATTGGGCAAAGAAATACATGAAAATTGACTTTTCATTAATGAATCTCGGATGTCACTTGATGGACTTGATGGATAAGCTAACGGATGAATTTTACATGATGCAGATGTGCCTGTGGCTTAAAGAAGGCATCAAGGAGGTGGCAGTGTGATGATATAGGCTGGAATTTTCAACAAAACCATTACTGAACCATTTAAAATCAATAAAGAAGTTAAACTGAACATCGCAGTTTCAAAGTGAAATGTGTATTTCTGCATGACAATCCTCCATTTTGTGTATTTAAGGTTACCTGTGAATTTTTTAATGTGAAAGATTTTCAGGAGAGACTGATCTAATTCTGATAAAAATCTATGGTCAGTTGTGTAGATGGAATTTTTTGTAACGTACAGTGGTTGTTAATAATTAAGTATAACTCAAGTCATCAATGTTAAATAAAACAGTATTTAATTACAACTGCAAATAAATACTTAACAAGAAGAAAGGAGTAGAAGTCAGCCATAGATAATTAACCATTTCAGTGAATACCTTATGAGTAGTGCCTATATCAGCTGAGGATACCTAAAGTTTGTTTTATGATGTCCAGTAGCTGTTAATAATTAAATATGACTCAAGACTTCCATGTTAAGATATAACTGTATTTAATTACAACTGCAAATAAATACTTAACAAAAACAAAGGAGTAAAAATCAACCAAAGATTAATCATTTCAGTGAATACATTGTTACTAGCGCGGCTCAGTTCAGCATCTGATAAATCCTAAATCAAAACCTAAATCATCAATGCACAATAATTCACACTAATTCAACTGGATAGTTCCACTCAATAGTCACTGCAGTCAGTAGCCTGACACTGCTATTTATACACCTGGAGGAATACATATTCATAAATCCAGAGTGTCATGCTTGAACCTCGGTGTCAGTAGTTGCTCATTTTCTTCCGATATAACAGAGTTATATGAGGGTGGCAAACATTATGATGGTAAAGCAGGCCTATGGGAAGCAATTAAAGTCATCATGTCAGAAACTGAACCTATTGATGTAAAAAAATTAACAAGATCAATGGATAATGGATCACTGACTGTTATTGAGAAGAAGAGACTCTATATTAAGATGTAAATGCTTCAAAGAATTATCAACTATATTTGTCATTTCTTCCATTATAGGTGTTAATTTTTTCTGATTTTATTACCTTGCTATTGAAGTAAAAAGTGATTTTGTCTGGTTTTGCATAATAATTTCAGATTGTAGCTATTAGAATAAATCCAATAACTTGAATAAACTACATTGAAAAAAACAAAAAAAACTTAAGCTTTGTTTTGATGACTAAAATAATTGTATAAAATTAAGCAAGCTTGAGATATTGAGGCTTATGTCATTTCCATTATGACTTCAATTGGACTATGTATATTGTTATAAAATAAAATAAGACATATCTCGGCTGATTTACAGGATTTACATACTCAAGAGCGAGAGCCGGATGTGAACGGGACAAAACCCTGTCACAAAATGACCATTATCTTCATTTACAAATGTTCCCGACACACGTGTTCCGGTCTAAAAATAAAATAATATTTAAAGTGTTCTATTTTTCATCCAATAAAAATGCTTCCCTCCTAATTATACTCCCTTCGTTTTTCGAGCCTGTTAAGCCATAAAAAATGCTATAAAAGGGGTCACACGGAAGTTCAACAGGCAGTCAACAGGTGGCCACAAAAGAGACCTGTCACGGTCAGGCCGAGCGGTCAGCAGCTTCCAGCAGGGGAGCATCAACCACTGTCAACATGTGTGAACTACTATGAGAGATCGACCTAGATCCGAAGCCGGCTTATGAACTTTACCACAAGGTAGCTGTCACAAACCCACACATTCCTGTTGAAATAAACCACGTAAATCTATTTCTTTCTTGCAACCATACGCTTGTCTATAATATATATATATATATATATATATATATATATATATATATATATATATATATATTTTTGTATAATTTTATATATCAACAGTCTTTAGAAAAATATGACAAACTGGAAAGGTTCTTTTGTGATGCATTTCATCCGTTAGGATTTCAATAATTTTGAAACTACCTGTGTCTCTTGTTTTGTGTGTATGTGTAGTCTGATGAAACACATCACAAAAAAACCTTTCAAGTTTTTCATATTTTTCAAAATGTGTATATATATATATATATATATATATATAAAAAGAAAATCTTAGCTGACATGTTTTAATAACTTTCTCTTCGAGTTAATATGTTGTTGAATTGTTATTTAGCAATCATAAAGTTTTCAGCTGCAATCCAAGTGAACTTGATACAATAAGTGGTTGCTGCTAAAAGTAGGCATGGAAAAGTATTGAATATTGATTCAGATTGAGTAGACGGAGACCTGACTTAAAATTCCAGTCAAATTCATTGCATTCACTTACATGTTAATACCCTTGGGAAAAGTATGAATCAAACTATCCTCCTACCATCTATTGATAAATTGCAGGAGAGACCAATTTTTATAGCCTTGGTTGGCAATTGGTATAGGAGAAGGAATTCAAAACTCTATGTATCCCTAGTGAAGCACATACTATACAGCTAAGGAAATGATAGTTCACATTGACTCAATGATGCTGAGTATGCTTGACTAAAAGTTAGCAGTCACATTTTTAGAGATGCTATTTCTTTGCCATTGACAATGATATACATCTGCCAAAAAGATGTCAGTAACAGCAGTCAGTCATTGTAAGCACCACCATCATTTACCACCTTCCATATTCCAAAAGTGGGACTTTTTATTGGAGTTTACACTGCCATTGCTTAATATATTCAAAGTTATGAAACAATCCCCAATCTAAGCAATGACCCAACTCAGCATTGCTTAACTTTGATGTTTGAACAAGTACCAATGCTTTAGCATGATTTGATGATGATATAATGTTCTCATTATTCCTGTAAAATCTAAAGCTGAAGCTAACAAGTTTGTTAACACATCACAAGTTGTCCCAGTTCCTAGCCATTATGGACTGTTCACAAATGATAAAATAAATTGTCCAATCAGATCCTGTGAAGCAATAATATTCAGCTATTATCTCGTTCCTAGTATATGCTATTAACATTTTATTGTAATCTAAGATTGCTATCAAAATAAATAAATCCGTGTAGTTAATGATCTATGGAATTAATCACATTCGTCTATTTAAGCACTCATGCATAGTGTTTATCCGTAACTTTATCAATTTAATTGTAAGTCAAAGTAATCTAGCATTTCTTTCAAAACAAAGCATTCAATAAACTTAATGACCTGTTGAAATAAGAATATTCCACTCTAAAATACAGACTGCTTTTTAACTGCTGATAGTACAACACAGACTTGATTATTCCAAATCATTTTGCAAAGACAATCAAAACAAATGTAATTGATTCTTAGATAAGGTAATTTTGACTCTAGAGATTTAAAGAACTCAGATATATTTTCCTATATAAGTTTAAAAACAGAAAATTATTTAAGAGTAATTAAAATTGATAATTTTTTTTTTTTTTACTTTCCAGTAAAAAAGAAACACATTTAGAGAAAGGCATTGTCAATATTAATCAGAATAAACCATAAGTCTGCTGTTTACCATTTTTCATTAAAACTTTTTTTCTTCTTCATTTCCAATTTTTATCTTTTCTTCATTTCCATTGTTTTTTTTGTTTTTGTTTTCTTTTTCTGATTTTCTTTAATATTTTCTGCACAATTCACTTATCATCATTCTTTTCAACCTCTCCCATCATGTCCCTTTTTCGCTCTTCTCTTTACATTCTCCGGTCATGTTCCTTTGTCATTGTTTTTTTTTTTTTCTTTACACTTTCTGGTCATTTTTTCTTTTTTCAATCGTGTTTTTTCTTTACTTTGTCCTTTTTACTCTTCGCTTTAATATTTTCTGCACAATTGTGTCTCTTATCGTGTCTCTTTTTTTGCTCTTCTCTTTACACTCTCCATTGTGTCTCTTCTTCACTGTATTCTTTAACTCTCCTCTTCCTTTACAGTCTCATGTTTATACCTGGTCGTGCTTCTTTTGCTCTTTTTACACTCTCCAGTTGTCTCTTTTTCACTGTATTCTTTTTATACTCTCTGGTTGTCTCTTCTTTTACATTCTCGGTTTATACATGGTCGAGCCTCTTTTTTGCTTTCTCTTTTACACTCTCCAGTTGTCTCTTTTTCACTGTATTCTTTATACCTCTGGTCGTGCCTCTTTTTTTGCTCTTCCCTTTGCACTCTCAGTTGTGTCCTTTTCACTGTATTCTTTATACTCTCTGGTCGAGCCTTTTTTTGCTTCTTTTACACTCTCCAGTTGTGTCTCTTTTTCACTGTCTTTATATTCTCTGGTCGTGCCTCTTTTTTTGCTTCTTTACACTTCCAGTTGTGTCACTCTTCACTGTATTCTTTCTCTGGTCGTGCCTCTTTTTGCTCTTCTCTTTACACTTTTATTTGTCGTGCCTTTTTTTGCTCTTTTTACACTCTCCTTTTCATGTCTTCTCTTTACACCTCCAGTTGTATCTCTTTTTCACTGTATTCTTTATACTCTCTGGTCTCCTTTTTTGCTCTTCTCCTTTACACTCTCCAGTTGTGTCTCTTTTTTCACTGTATTCTTTATACTTCTGGCCGTGCTCTTTTTTTGCTCTTCCTTTACACTCTCCAGTGCCTTTTCTTTTTTTATACTCTCTGGTCTCTTTTTTGCTCTTCTCTTTACACTCTTGTGTCTCTTTTCAGTTGTTTTCTTTTTTTCACTGTATTCTTTATACTCTCTGGTCGTGCCTCTTTTTTGCTCTTCTCTTTACACTCTCCAGTTGTGTCTCTTTTTCACTGTATTCTTTATACTCTCTGGTCGTGCCTCTTTTTTGCTCTTCTCTTTACACTCTCCAGTTGTGTCTCTTTTTCACTGTATTCTTTATACTCTCTGGTCGTGCCTCTTTTTTGCTCTTCCCTTTACACTCTCCAGTTGTGTCTCTTCTTCACTGTATTCTTTATACTCTCTGGTCTTCACTCTTCTCTTTACACCTCTCCATTGTGTCTCTTTTTCATGTATTCTTTCTGGTCGTGCCTTTTTTTTGCTTTTTTTACACTCTCCAGCTCTTTTTCTGTATTCTTTTACTCTTTGGTCGTGCCTCTTTTTGCTCCAGTTGTGTCTCTTTTTCACTGTATTCTTTATACTCTCTGGTCGTGCCTCTTTTTTGCTCTTTTTTCTGTATTCTTTATACTCTCTCTCTTTACACTCTCAGTTGTGTCTCTCTATTTTTCTTTATACTCTCTGGCCGTGCCTCTTTTTTGCTCTTCTCTTTATTTTATGCCTCTCTTTTTTATTTTGTGTCTCTTTTCATTATTTTTTTTGCTCTTCTCTTTACACCCCATTTTTCTTTATACTCTCTGGTCGTGCCTCTTTTTTTGCTCTTCCTTTACACTCTCAGTTGAGTCTCTTTTTCACTGTATTCTTTATACTCTCTGGTCGTGCTTTTTTTTGCTTCTTCTCTTTATCCTGTCACTCTGTTTTCTTTATATTTTCTTTGCCTCTTTTTTGCTTTCCCTTTACACTCTCAGTTGTGTCACTTTTTTCACTGTATTCTTTATACTCTCTGGTCGTGCTTTTTTTATCCAGTTGTTCTCTTTTTTCAATCTTCTCTTTATCCTCTTTTTTTGATTATTTTTTTGCTCTTCCTTTATCTTTTTCATCCTCTTTTCATATTTTCTTTATTACCATAGATTTTTTTTATTTCTCCTCATTTATATTTTTCTCTTCATCTTTATTAATTTTTGTCTTTCCTTCCCTTCTCATTTTTTCACCCACTTCCTCTTTTTTTTTTGTCTTTTTTCTCTTCCCCAAATTTACCTTCTTCCTCTTCTCCCCCACACCATATTTACTCTCCTCTTATTTCTTTCTCATTTATCATTTACTTTCTTCCCTCTATATCTTATTATTCATCATAAAAGGAAGCCTGATAGACCTAATGAATATTCACCATCTCAATCATTCCATACAGAATTCTGCCATCATACATTATTTTCAACTCATATTCTTCAGACCAAAATTTAAAAAAAGAAAAATGTTTTCTTTGACAAAATATCTCCTGAAAGGAAATTATTTTTGAAATAAAATTTAATTATGTTAGCATGTTTTCTTTTTTGTCTAATTTCATTTTATCATTTTCCATCAGCTTAAAAAAATCATCTTTCACCTTGCAAGATTGTGTATTGATTGAAATATTCTGATATTATTCTTATTGATAAAGTCTTTCATTTGTTAGTTAATTTTAGTTATTTCAATAGAGTTGTTTACATTCATTTCTATAAATTTACTTATTTTCAGTGTTACTTTTATTCATACAGTTTAAAAAATATCAGCAAAATTGATTTTATTTTTCATTTGAAACTCTGTGGTCTCCCACATTGGTAATTGTAACCATGTAGAGAATTAGACTGAAGTCCTCTAAATTGAATGGTTATTCCCAAGAACATCTTGTAGTTTTGTCATTAACCCTTATACAATGAGAAAACATTGCACAGATGCACATGCCAGATTGGTAATAAAACAAGAAAATTCATTTTTTAAAGTGTAGATTTTGTGCTTATATTCACTTTAATTATAAAAACAGAACTAAGAATATTATATTACAACTCTTTTAAATAAAAATTAGAGAAAAAATGAAATAAAAAAATTTGTTATGTTTCTAAATGTAATATTTTTAACTGTATGATACTCCTTGAAGCATTTTATGCACAATGGAGTTGCATACTCTCTGCACCAAGTTGTTACCATTTTTTTTTTTTTTTTTGCTTCTTTTGTCTTCAAGAAGGATACATACAGATATATCACTGTCTTTGGATTGTCCTTCTAGATTTATTTGCGGGTAACTCTTCCAGAAAATAACATAATCTCATTAATTTTGATAAATAGTAACCTCATGAATTCTAGATTGATTGAGTGATTTATTTTTTATCACTTATTAACCTTTTGCCATTTATCTGAAGCCAGAAAATATTTTTAGATTTTAAAAACTTTTTTTTTGATAATAATGTTTTACTGATACAAGTTCTATTTATTAACTCATTGCTGGTGTAGATAAGATGGATGGATATATATATATATATATATATATATATATATATATATATATATATATATATATATATACATCTTTCACAAGAGTATTTGCAAGTAAGTGAATACAACAAACTGACTGGAATTCGAAATCAGCTCTCTGCTTTCCAAATCAAAGCTGTTATTTATTGCACCTTCATCACATCCAACCTTACAGCACTTGGTATTCCCAAGTAGTCACCCATCTAGGCACTGACCCGGTTGATGTTGCTTAAGTTTGGTGAATATATGAGCATAGTGTTTCAACATGAATTCTAGAGTCACCAATTAATCATTTAGATTCAAATCATAAATGAATGATGCTTGTATTTTTGAAAGCAGTTAAAATCATCAATATAGCACATTAGGTTGATTGTCTGATGGAGTTCACATTCATTTTCTTCTGGCTTCTTATGCAGTGCTATGAAAATAGATCTACTTAGGCCTTTTGGTATTTTGTTTTTTTAATCAAGTTCATCCCAAACAATGTAGTAAAGCTACTAAGACACAAGTGGTTACAGGGTGTTGAAGAATTAGAAAACAGAAATTTTATTAAGGAATGAGAACAAAAGAAGAGTTACCAGGAGGACAGCAGATAGTGATTGACATTGCATTTAAATTTTTGAAGATTAAAGTTAATTGGAAAGCATAGAGCCAGAAGAGAGTTCCATAAGCGAGAAAAGAAACTGTTAGCATACAATTTATGGTTATATCTATCCAACTCAATGGTAAATTGGTGAGACCTTGTCACCAGTCTAGTACTGCAAATTCATAAAGTCTTGGTACCATATCGAAAAGCTCATCTGAACAGTTGCCATACTTATTTTAAAATGCTGACAGTAAATTAAAAAAAATAAAATTCAAAATGGAAGATACCTCTGAGAGCCATTGAGCAAGTCCTTTCAAGTTATGTTTTGTCTTAGAATATAATCCAGATAGATTCTATTAAAATACGGACAGTACTTCTCACCAGGACATTTACACATTGCTTTGTTCATTCATCTGTTTCTGAAATTCTAGTCTATTTTTGGGACCTTTGGAGTAACAACCTATCCCACACATCATAAAACATTATGACTCTTTTCCTTTCTCAAAAGCAGCAGAAAATGATATGATATGCTTCACCAATTCTGCATTGATTAGGGCTTCTCAGAGTTTCCCAAAAAGAGGTAGAAGGCTAATAGGCTGATAGTTGGGAGGGTCACATGGTTCACTTGAGTGAAAAACTGGAACAGATAAGTATTTCCATCATGCAGGAAAGCAAGATGCAGCGAGGCATTTATTATACAGTTTAAAGAGGACAGGAGCCAGTTCAGGAGCACACATCTTAAGAACTATTACAAGGATACCATCAGGTCCAGATGCATTTTGGGGATCCTGATTAGAGATGATAGCTGAAACCATAAAAGGGGTTATATACATATCACTCAACTGAAATTGAGTTCTAAGTGGAAAGTGAGGCAAAGATACTCCAGATGAATCAAGAGTTGAGTTTAAGGAGATTTTTCATAGCTATACCAGTATGACAGTTCCCATTATAACAGACGCATATTCATGTTTGCATGTAATAAGCGTAAATATGTCCTTGAAAGAGCTAAGTCTCTGTTTGCTGATAGAGTACAACTGTTGTATATTTCATTTATTATGTCTCTAATCTTGTCAATGCTAAAATCATGTAAGACTATCAGCATCTCTATTACTATTCTGTTCCATCTCTGAAGTATTTTTTCTTTCTTTGATGTCAGTGTCCCATTCTTGGATTTTATGCATCCTGTTCTGAGTATGTCTTCTGTTCTACTTGTTCTATTATTCTTTTATGCATAGCTGCTTTATCTGTGATAATTAATTCTTCTTTTATGTGCTGTATCCCTCCATGAAGTACGTGATGATGGCCCTCCACATCTTCCTGTCCCTTGTAGCTCAGTTTTGTCTTTTTGCTATTTCTGCCAAACCCCGTCTACCATTATTTTACTCAAGCTCATCAAACATATTACATGCTGCTTTCTTCTGTCCCTCTTTCCCTCAATCTGTCATGTGAGTATCAGATTTTCCAAGCCCTCCTTTTTCATTAGGTGCTCCAGAAATTTCAAATGCCTCTTCCTGATGTTAAGTATGTTTCTTTTTTGTTTCCATTTTCTCCTAAACCTTGTGGTTGCTGATATGTTCAGTCCATGGTATTCGCAGCATCTTTCTGTTGAACCATAATTCTGTTGATTCAAGTCTCTTCTTCATTTTTGAAGATTTTCCATCATTGGCTGCCATACAGGAGGACAGATGTCATGTAATAGTCCAATACACTTGTCTTTGTTTATGGATAACTCATTACCTTTATTAAAATATCAACATTTGAAATCCTATTTGCTTTGTTTTGTGACCAGAACTTCAAACAGTCCTTTGATACTGGTGAAAAATATGTTACTATTTCTTCAATAAGGAAGCCAAAATAGCTTTGTATAGCACAAGTTCAAAAGTCCAATGAGTGAGTATTTCATATGTGATTCCCATCAAGAAATACTAGAAGTTTGAATTGAATTTAATGACCATCAGGATTCTTTATATAAAGAAAGTTGATTTATTGTAATCCCAATATTTACTGGCTTCATCCTCAGAGATACTGAAGTAAGTTTTGTACTCAGTGTCATCTCAGAAAGTCAAGATCTAGGAACCCTGAGCCTTGACATAGAAGGTGATCTTTATGCCACTAAGGGCAGAATTGGACCACAAAGAATATTGGTGGGTGCACAAATCTGATCAAGAAAAAGAACTAAGCTGAACTTAAGATATACAAATGCTTGCCAACTTGATAATAGAAACATCTGAAAAGAGAAGCAGGATCCCTCATAAGCTTTCAAGAGGAGAACAGTGTTTGAAGAAAGACCCAAAACCACATACCTTTGACAACTTGATGGAGTCCAGAAGTGAATGAACAATTATTTTATGTATTAAAAATTTAATCTCGTCTCTGATACTACAAATGGGGAACAAGACAAACTTGCTTATCATAATATATATCAATAACTGGTATTCACTAAGTTTAGCTTAGTCTGACACAAGTCCATAAGTGTAGGCCACTCAGTTAGAATCACACTTACTATGATATATTAATAGGCTATATGATAAGTTTGTAGTAGATGCCTAAAATATTTATTCTCTTATAATATTTTTTATGTGCTCTCTCTGTTCAGAATGTGGGCAATCATAACTCTCCACAATTTTCTCTCTTGTTGCTTTAAGCAGTCTTTGTCCTTTTACCATCCCTCTTTGTCTCTGCTCTGTCATCCATTCACACAAAATCATTACTTGTTATTTCTCTCTGATTCCCTTTCTTTCATTATGTCCTCTGAGTGTTAAATTTACCAAGCTCTCTTTCTTCAAAATTTGTCTCAGAAATTTCTTTCTGAATTTAAAATTAAATGCTCTTGCTTTCTTTAAAAATTTCTTGTACTATTATAGTGCTCTAAATTTGAGGAACTAATCTTCTAAGCCTTCTTCAAGAATTGTTAAAAAGCCATCATAAAATTGCATTACCTTAAAATTCCCAAGACTGGAACAGTGCAGAAAAATCATGAGAATTGACAGCTGAGCCTTGAATCAAATAACAATATTTCTTGGTGTCAAGGAGCTTTGACTTGAAAAATTTGGAAAAAAGAATAAATGTAAATTTAAATAAAAAAAACAATAGCATTCAAATTGTAACACGTAGATACATTTTTTAGAATTATTTTAGGAAATTACACTATGTTAGATTTTATTTTACAAGTCAGCGTTTTAACAATAAAATTGGTATTGAGAAATTGATGTTTGAAAAAATTTTAAATATATTTATATAAAGAATATGTCAATGAGTTTTGGTTTATATAATATATATATATATATATATATATATACACACAATAACACACACACACACACGCACACCCTGTCTGAAGTTATTAAGCAAATCATATGAACTTCAATAATTCGAATTTGGTTTGAAAAAAATTGTAAAATTTTAAACAATCAATTTAGATGTCAAAACAAAGCTAAAGTTAAAATTTTAGGTAGTATCAATGTTTTATTGAAATTATTTGATGTATTCTGAAAAAAATGCTATCTGAAGTTATTATGCAAAACCAAATAATCACATTTTAATTCAATAAAATGGTAATAAAATCATCAAAAATTAATCAATACCTGTAACGCATATAAGTCTTTGAATCATTTACATTTTAATATCATGACCCTTATTTTCAATAACAGCCAGTAATCTATTGATTTTGTTAATTTTTTTTACTTCAGCAGGTTCAATTTCTAACTTGGTACTTTTAATTGCTTCCTATAGGTCTGCTTTGCTGTTATATTGTTTGCTGCCTTCATATAATTTCATCTTCACAATTGACCATATATTTTTTGATCAGATTCAGATCAGGACTTGATGGTGGCCATTCCATTATTTTCTCTCCTGTAAATCTCTTATGCTCAAAGAATTCATGAGTAAGCTTAGATACATGAGAAGGAGCATTGTTGTGCATAAATACATACTTGATTTTGAAACTGCAAGACTGGGATTTGTACCAAGCAAAGAAAGTCTTGTTCATAAACTTGCAATCGTTAGCCCTGTTCATTTTAACTGCTTCAACTTTAAATGGTACAGTAATGGTTTGGTGGACAGTTCCAGACCATATCATAACACTACCACCTTTTTTTTAACCACAGGCTCTTTTGAATTAGATAAAATCCATCCTTTAACCCATCTCTCATGTCCGTCAAATGTTACTCAAGATTTGTCTATGAAAATTACTTTAGAAAAGTCAATTTTCATGTATTTCATGGCCCAATGTTGATGCTTAAGAATATTTGCTTTAGTGAGAGGGGATTTCTTTACAGATCCTAATTCACAAAGTATTCTACATCTTTTCTCCTTGACTCTCTCATTTACAGCTTTTTCAATGATCTGAGTGTTGCTCAGAAGTGGTTGTTTCACTATAACTCACTTTACCTTCTTTGAGTTCTCAACTTATATTTTCAACAGCCTTCTTTATCAGTTACTTATCCCTGCAAACTCCTTTGATATCATCAATGTGGACATTCCCTCACTCAATAACATTGTTATTTTCTGTTTTTCAGCAGTTGTTAGATTTCAACATATGGACAAAAAGAAAAAAATAGTTTTATTAGATTTCAGGTCTTCAGCTAATAGTTTAATCTGCATATTAACTTCAGTCAGTCCATTTTTGTAATTTCCAAATATCTGAAAAAGTAACCATTAAAAATGTCAGAAAATTTAGTTAAATATTTTACTAAGGGTGGAAATGAATGAGTTTAAATTCGACAAATATTGGTTAAGAATTTTTTGAGTTATTGAGGTTTATTTGATTTTCACAACTTCAGACAGGCTGTATATTGAAAATATCTAGAATAACTTGTTTTGGGAGTGTCATGTTTTATTATGCAAAGTAAGAGCAATATAAATGTTTGATAACTAAATTAAAAAGACATAGTCTATGAAAACAGATTTTGGACACCATTCAATTTGACAATCAGTTTATTTTTCTTCAATTATGTGACAAATTAACTTCATTATCTCATTAGTATAAGGCTAAAAGAGTGAAAAAAAAAATTCAAAGCACCTAACTCAACATACATCCTTTTTTGCATAATATGATCTTTTTTAAAATTTGGGACTGATTTTCACAAGGAGTCTTTGTTTTAGAATATTGTCTGGGTCATTCTTAAAGAGATCGATTTCCTCATTTCAAAACTGGAAAAAAACATGCATATGTCCACTTACACTATTTTAGAATCAGCATTGCTATCAGTGATGATTCCACTTCCGACTTGAATTTCTGGTCCTATGATAAATTTACGTCTTGCAGGTTGTTCTCTCTCATTGTGGAAGAGTTCTCTGATGTATTCGTTCCATCTCTGAAGTTTTTTTTTCTTTCTCTAAAAATGAATTCAATAAATACAGAAAAATAGAAAAGGCATGAGGCAATGATGTGTCTTCTCACCAGACTTATTTAATGTTTACAGTAAAGCAATCATGAGAGAATTAAAAGAATTGTGCAGATGACACAGTTTTGATAGCAGATGCAAAAAGGAAACTGCAGGAACTCCTGCAGAAGTTAATATAGGAAAGGGAGAAGAAAGGACTAAACATCACTTATAAGAAAGCAGAAAGATTGGTATTACCCTGGCAATTCAGCACTCTTTTTTTTTTTCTAATGAAATTTTCCTGTAGCATCTTTTGCTATTCCAGTGCACCTTCAGATTTCAGTGTCACATTTTTTGCTGTCATTTTAATGATAGTTAAATTGCTATAGTTACTCACTTCTGATGTCTCTAGTTCATAGCTCACATCTTGGGATGCCCCCCCCCCTATCTAATGACCATACAAAGTCCTTTCTTCCCAGTTTTCATTACAACCTCATCTAGGAGTTCCTGCATTTTCCTTTCTTTGTCTACCATCAACACAGTGTCATCTGCATATCTTATGTGGTTAATGTGTTGTGCACCAATAATAAATCCTGGTAGTACCTTTAGTTCTCATAGGATTGTCTTATTGTACAGGCATATTTACCCAGCTTTCTCATCAAGGCCAGATGTGACTCAAGGTCATTTTAACATGGGGTACACCATACATATGCATATGGACCAAGGACAAAAATTCTCATTTTGCCCAGCACCTCCGTAACTACTTTCATGCTGACATCAGTATTACACCAACTCCACCTCTGCAATGAGGGAGGTGCTGCTACATAGTTGGAATCCCCAGGGCTGAGCAAATCCTCTCATCTAAAATGAGGAGAAACATACCTCCACTTACAGCACAGGAGGTTGAATATGCTAATCATGTATCTTGAAACTCTTACCAGTATTAGTTAATACCAAATGTGAAAACAGTGATTTGCATTGAAAATCTAACATTGTATCATAGCATCATTTTGAAATACAGTGCTTAAAAGTAAACATTCACTTTCTAAGATGATAGAGAAGAAGACCCAAGGTTGAGAAGATTTGTATCTCATGTGATGCCAGTTTTGTAAAACTTATTATCACAAAAAGATGGGAAATATAATTTAAAACCAAAGAAAATGCATCTTTTCATTGGAACAAGTGTATATTTAGCATTAGATTATACTGTAAAAAAACAGAAATTTTATTTAGCCTCAAGATTTGGCTTTTAAGATAACAGACAATTAATTTTAGTCTGAGGAAATTAGTCTCTCCATAGATTGAAATGGAACAAGAAAAGAGACAGGACACTGGAACAGTAATGACAGCATCAATTAAAAGAACTTTTTATTCTTTTTATCTTTGATAAACCCAATGAAATCTTGGATTTATGGCACCAACTAAACATTTCCATTTTTGTTTTTGTTTTTTAGTATTGAAAGTTGTAATGGTAATTTATTATTGTATTTTACTTTTTGATTTGAATTTCATCTGAGATTTTTGTTTAACTCTTTCTCTCTATCCTCTCTTCTATTTCTCTCCATCCTCTCTTCTTTCTCTCTATCCTCTCTTCTATTTCTCTCCATCCTCTCTTCTTTCTCTCTATCCTCTCTTCTATTTCTCTCTATCCTCTCTTCTTTCTCTCTATCCTCTCTTCTTTCTCTCTATCCTCTCTTCTATTTCTCTCTCTCTCTTTTCTCTCTCCATCCTCTCTTTCTTCTTTCTCTCTATCCTTCTATTTCTCTCCATCCTCTTTCTTTCTCTCTATCCTCTCTTCTCTTTCTCTCCATCCTCTCTTCTTTCTCTCTATCCTCTCTTCTATTTCTCTCCATCCTCTCTTCTTTCTCTCTATCCTCTCTTCTATTTCTCTCCATCCTCTCTTCTTTCTCTCTCCATCCTCTCTTTCTTCTTTCTCTTTATCCTCTCTTCTATTTCTCTCCATCATCTCTTCTTTCTCTCTATCCTCTCTTCTATTTCTCTCCATCCTCTCTTCTTTCTCCTCTTCTATTTCTCTCCATCCTCTTTCTTTTTCTCTCCATCCTCTCTTCTTTCTCTCTATCCTCTCTTCTATTTCTCTCCATCCTCTCTTCTTTCTCTCTATCTCTCTTCTATTTCTCTCCATCCTCTCTTTCTTTCTCTCTATCCTCTCTTCTATTTCTCTCCATCCTCTCTTCTTTCTCTCTATCCTCTTCTATTTCTCTCCATCCTCTCTTCTTTCTCTCTATCCTCTCTTCTTTCTCTCTAACCTCTCTTCTCTCTCCATCCTCTCTTCTTTCTCTCTATCCTCTCTTCTCTCCATCCTCTCTTCTTTCACTCTCCATCCTCTCTTCTTCTTTCTCTCCTATTTCTCTCCATCCTCTCTTCTTTTCTCTCTATCCTCTCTTCTATTTCTCTCCATCCTCTCTTCTTTCTCTCTCTCCATCCTCTTTTCTTCTTTCTCTCTATCCTCTCTTCTTCTTCCTCTCTTCTTTTCTCTCTATCCTCTCTTCTATTTCTCTCCATCCTCTCTTCTTTCTCTCCATCCTCTCTTTCTTCTTTCTCTCTATCCTATTTCTCTCATCCTCTCTTCTTTCTCTCTATCCTCTCTTCTATTTCTCTCCATCCTCTCTTCTTTCTCTCTCCATCCTCTCTTTCTTCTTTCTCTCTATCCTCTCTTCTATTTCTCTCCATCCTCTCTTCTTTCTCTCTATCCTCTCTTCTATTTCTCTCCATCCTCTCTTCTTTCTCTCTCCATCCTCTCTTTCTTCTTTCTCTCTATCCTCTCTTCTATTTCTCTCCATCCTCTCTTCTTTCTCTCTCCATCCTCTCTTTCTTCTTTCTCTCTATCCTATTTCTCTCCATCCTCTCTTCTTTCTCTCTATCCTCTCTTCTATTTCTCTCCATCCTCTTTCTTTCTCTCTATCCTCTCTTCTCCATCCTCTCTTCTTTCTCTCTATCCTCTCTTCTATTTCTCTCTATCCTCTCTTCTTTCTCTCCATCCTCTCTTTCTTCTTTCTCTCTATCCTTTCTCTCCATCCTCTCTTTCTTTCTCCCCATCCTCTCTTCTATTTCTCTCCATCCTCTCTTCTTTCTCTCTCCATCCTCTCTTTCTTCTTTCTCTATCCTCTCTCTCTCTCCATCCTCTCTTCTTTCTCTCCATCCTCTCTTTCTTCTTTCTCTCTATCCTATTTCTCTCCTCTCTTCTATTTCTCTCCATCCTCTCTTCTTTCTCTCTCCATCCTCTCTTTTCTTCTTTCTTTCTATCCTCTCTTCTATTTCTCTCCATCCTCTCTTCTCCATCCATCTCTCTTCTTTCTCTCTATCCTATTCTCTCCATCCTCTTCTCTCCTCTCATCCTCTTCTCTTCCTCTTTCTCTCTCCATCCTCTCTTTCTTCTTTCTCTCTATCCTCTCTTCTATTTCTCTCCATCCTCTCTCTTTCTCTCTCCATCCTCTCTTCTTTCTCTCTCCATCCTCTCTTTCTTCTTTCTCTCTATCCTCTCTTTCTCTCCATCCTCTCTTCTTTCTCTCTATCCTCTCTTCTATTTCTCTCCATCCTCTCTTCTTTCTCTCCATCCTCTCTTTCTTCTTTCTCTCTCCTCTCTTCTATTTCTCTCCATCCTCTTCTTTCTCTCTATCCTCTCTTCTATTTCTCTCCATCCTCTCTTCTTTCACTCTCCATCCTCTCTTTCTTCTTTCTCTCTATCCTATTTCTCTCCATCCTCTCTTCTTTCTCTCTATCCTCTCTTCTATTTCTCTCCATCCTCTCTTCTTTCTCTCTCCATCCTCTCTTTCTTCTTTCTCTCTATCCTCTCTTTCTCCATCCTCTCTTCTTTCTCTCTATCCTCTCTTCTCTCTCCATCCTCTCTTCTTTCTCTCTCCATCCTCCTTTCTTCTTTCTCTCTATCCTCTCTTCTATTTCTCTCCATCCTCTTCTTTCTCTCTCATCCTCTCTTCTTTTCTCTCCATCCTCTCTTCTTTCTCTCTCCATCCTCTCTTTCTTCTTTCTCTCTCTTTCTCTCTCTTCTATTTCTCTCCATCCTCTCTTCTTTTTCTCTCTATCCTCTCTTCTATTTCTCTCCATCCTCTCTTCTTTCTCTCTATCCTCTCTTCTATTTCTCTCCATCCTCTCTTCTTTCTCTCTATCCTCTCTTCTATTTCTCTCCATCCTCTCTTCTTTCTCTCTATCCTCTCTTCTATTTCTCTCCATCCTCTCTTCTTTCTCTCTATCCTCTCTTCTATTTCTCTCTATCCTCTCTTCTTTCTCTCTCCATCCTCTCTTTCTTCTTTCTCTCTATCTCCTCTTTATCCTCTCTGTCCTCTCTTTCTCTCTATCCTATCTTTCTTTTCTTTCTCTCTATCCTCTCTTTTTCTGTCCATTTTCTCTCACTTTCTTCTGTTTTGCTTTCTTTTTTCTATTCCTTTTCTCCTTCCTCTCTTTTTTCTTCTCTAGTCTTTCTCCTTCCTCTCACTTTCTCTTTCTCCTTCCTCTCACTCTCTCTTTCTTTCTATCCTTTTCTTTTCTCTCTTTCTTTCCATCTTTCACTTTGAATAAAATATTTATTTGCATTTAAACAGATCTTTTTGTTTTTGATGCTGTATTTTCATATGTTACCCTAGCAATTTCTTCACATATGAGAGGCACATTTTTCAAGACCCGAATCACATGTATTGATGGTCAGACTTGAACTCAAGCTTTAATTGTATGCATCTACTCTAGTGGGATCTGAGTCAGGCTTTTTTTTCTAATATATTTCATACTAAATTTATGGTGTATTTGAATCTTGTGTATATTGGGAGGGGGACATAAAGATAACCATCAAAATATGCTATAATCATTACTTGATTAACAAAGCAAAAACAGTGATTAATTTTATTTGTATATCAGTATTTTCTTGTACTGTAACCAAGATGATAATGAATACTAACAAACATGTTTTATACGAATTACTATCATCTTTTATTAGATTTAAAATTGATATTCAAGATTTTGTGGATTATAAATAAGAAAAGAATCTTATTTATTTATATATGTAGATGGATATATGAATGGAAATATAAGTTTTTACTTATCAATTTTTCACTTCAGAGTAACTGGGCAACCAATTCTTGTTTTCAAATGACTAAATTTCAAATTGGAGATATGAAAATCAAACAAGTAGAAGAATTTAAATACGTGCAAAGTGTTTCAGAAGATAACAGAAAGTGCAACACTTAAATTCAAAGGTGGATTGGGATAGCAAAAGATTTCTTCAAAAAGCTAAGCAATGTATTAAGAAACAGAAACATTTTGTTGGAAACAAAGAAAAGACTACTGAACTGTTATGCAATATCAGTCCTCCAAAATGGCAGTGAATGCTGAACAATCTCCTCAAAGATGAAGAACAAACATAAAGTAAAAGAAGTGTGGTTTTACAGAAGGATGCTGAGAATTCCAAAAAGCAAGCATGTGAGCAATGAGAAAGTTTTAAAGAGAATGGAAACAAAAAGGAAACTTATACTTAACATCAGGAAGAGATATTTGAAATTTCTAGGGCACATAATGAGGAAAGGGGACTTGGAAAATTTGATCCTCACAGGAGTGATTGAAAGCAAGAATGATAGAGGAAAACAATGCATAACCTACCAAGTGAGCTTGAGTAAATGGATGGTGGAGCAAGACTTTGGAGAGATAATGAAAAGAGAGTTGAAATTTCTGGGACACATAATGAGAAAAGAGGGCTTAGAAAATTTGATCCTCACAGGAGTGATTGAAGGCAAGAAGGATAGAGGAAAACAACGCATAACCTACCTAGTGAGCTTGGGTAAATGGATGGTGGAGCAAGCTTAGGAGAGATAACAAAAAGATAAAATTAATCAAGAACTACAAACGATAGAAAATTGTGGGGAGCCATGATCACCTACATCCTGAAGGGACATGCCACATAGGAATGCAGAAAATATTTTTTTTGCTTTAGATTACCAATCATTACGGCTATTTATAATTAAATATCCAGCAAATTATATTAACTTAAAAGTAACATTTGTAAAATATCTCCATATGTGCATATACCAGTTAAATATTGGATCAAACCTGGCTAATGAATTCAATACATAGGTTTCTCTAGTGATATTATCTTTAAATAGGATGTTACTTGATATATCTATCTTGTTAGTTGTCTAGATTTCAAGCATTGTATGAGTAACACCTTCATCACTTGATCAAATGATATTGTTCATTTATTGGGTGGGAATAACTACAAATCAGGAATTTTATATATTGTGTAGAGTTTCAAGTTCAAATGTCCTTGTCGATATTTTATTATGAGAACTGAAGGTTTCATCATCAGCAACTTGATCAATTCCAATCAGTTTCTTAATTACTTCACATTTCTATTCTCAAATGGCCAATATGTTTCTCTGTACCAATTCCTATTGTTGTCTTCTGTCTTCTTTAACCAGCAACATTCAAAGAACTGTCAATTCTAACACAACTCTAAAAGCAAGATCACTTGCTCATCTGCAATGGTTTTCTTTTCCCCATTTTGTTTTTCCTATTCACTTTGACATTTCCTTGGACCATCAGATTTATTTCCCATCTAGGCTCACCTTGAACCTTGCTTTGATTCTGAAGTCCCCATGACACCTGTCACATGTACATCTTCAGAATCTTTGACAACTCCATAAAGAGATATGCGTAACAGCGACTTTGATACAATCTGCTGAATGTACTCTGCCATATTTTATTTCCATTGATCCAAAAAAGAATAGCAATGATAACTTTTCTCCAAACCTATTTTTATTTATTCTTTGTTTAGAAAAGCAGTCTTTTTCATATAAAATGACTGTTACCATACTTTATTATTATTATTATTATATCCGTTAAGCATTATTTAAAAATATTTAAAAAAAAGATGTTTTTTTTCATCCCACCCAAAGGCAATGAAGTCACTAAGATGCTAAAGCGTGTGAGAGAATATCGAAAAAAAAACATTATTAAGGAGGGAGAAAATAAATGAACAGTAATTCAGAAAAAAACGTAACAACTGATACTGCATTTACCTTTTTGAAGATCAAAGTTGATTTGAAAGGAAGAAGCTGGAAGTGAAGTGTAAGAAGATATTCTTAAGGAAAATTGATTTACGTTAGCTTGGACACATATCATTTTTTAAAAATAGTCTTCCTCCCAATACAAGCCTCAAAAGCCTCTGAAGGTAGAGGGTTACTGCATGAGATGAGTGGTATAGAAATAAGAGGAAAAAGTAGGGAGTGAAGATTATGAAAATACTGAAGATAGATAACAATTGACCATGGACTTTCAGAGATTAAACTTGTAGTGTTCTGGGAATGATCCTTGCATGATTCTGGTCAACAAAGTAGTGGTTCCTCAGAAGAAGGATGGAATGTAAGCCATCCATTGATAAGTAAAAACTTGTATTTCCATTCATATATCCTCTACATATATAAGTAAATAAGTTTCTGTAGGATAGAATATAAGCTATCCCTCATAGGTTGCATAAAAGATTTTGAACTTTGTCATAGCTGGAAAATGAGGATTGGGCAACATATGGCTGCAATATTTCATTTTTTGTTTGATCTGAATCTTGTAAAGATAAGGTATGGCAAGAAGTTCCAGGTAGTTTCTAAACCAGTACAAGGATCTGACCATTTTTTTTTTCAGCATCTTTGTTGATGGATTATATATATGAGTGCCACTTAAGACCTGGGATGAATTTGAGTCCCAACAAACTTTCCAAGCAAGGAGAATATTTGAGAGTAAAAACCATTCATCATAACTGGAAAGAATTCAGTACCTACTCAGTGACAATTAAATGTTAGCTTTGTTTTAGAGGTATAGAAGGTTACAAATCAGTTTTTTCAACATTGAGCTGTTAGAACAGAAAAGAGATTGGCTGCCAGGTTCTGATGTTCTTAATTTTTAGAGGTGCACCAATAAACTGTGGTGTCATCTGCATAGATATTCACTAATGATTCAAGAATATTCCTATGCAGATCGTTAATATTAAGAAAAAAGAGGGTAGGACATCTGGCAGAGGTGAAAAGTATGTATACCACAATTTAAACCATGAGCTGAACCCAGTTAGATAATCAAGAAGATTATCTTAAACCAGCATAAAACCAAATGAGAAGATTATATTTCATTAATCATTCCATTGGGGAAGGTTTGATTTCCTTGAAATAAGTATTTTCAAATCCTGGCTTTTCCCTGTGTCTGAACACTGACCCCCTTTGGGAAAATATGTGACTATTTCATCCATGAAACAAGACCAGTTATTTAATAATCTTAGCTTAGTTTTGCACATGGCCATAGTAATGAGGCACCTAGTAAGAACCAAACTGACTATACAAGTATTAGATGTTCATACAATTTATTTTGAGTTTATTGTTTTTCTCCTGTCAGTGCCATTTGTTTATTGAAGAATATTGTTGTGATTTGTTCACTTCCTCTTGGAGTTTTTACTTTTTTCATTTTACCAATTATTTATCCCCAAAATAAAATAGATAAAAAAATTATATTTTAACCAAGTAAGAAAAAAAGTGACACTAAAATATTTAAACACAAAGTCTGCTTCCAAATTATCCAACCATTTATTAACAAAGACTAGCCCACCTAGAGCAGCAGCACCTTGGTCACCTTCAGAATAATCTTTCAGGATTACAATCAGCTGCATCTTTACATTCTCCTTAATCTCATCCATGGTGTTTAAAAGAACACAAAAAGGCTTTGTAAGCCAAAGTGGAGGATATAGCAAGGTGTGTGATGTTTTTCCAAAACACCTTACATGAGATATAATTTTTTTTTGTTTTTTTTACACTAGGGTTTCCCCTGTAAAAGGCCCAGGGGCCTCTCAAAGTAGAGGATTATGTTAAGGGGTAGTTTGTATGGATGGGGGGAGATACCAGTTAACTCTAGACTTGAACAGGTTAAGATTGTAATGATTGGGGAAACATCCTCTATTCCACAGAGTTGTGGTTTGCAGGAAGAAGCTGTTCAAATGGAACTTACTTCTTGCTGATGGAATACAGAGGGAATGCGGGTGCTTTGCTACTATCTAAGTGACATGGCTGGTCCTAGCCATGTAGGTCATCTGAACACTTTCCATGGTAGAGCAGTGAGAGACTCGCCACATCCCACCTGTGAGGGGGAGGTTGAGGGTTGAAAACAAGGACTCAGAGATACCTTTAAACTCTGTCAAGACTAGAAAGTGAGGACTGGGCAGCACCCAACCAAATATGGCAATAGTATTTCACTTTGGGCCTGATCTGGATTTTATAAGACTAGGGGATAGCATGAGGAGTCAGTTGGATAAGTATATTGCCATAATGAATGCAGTGGTGTCCTAGGGCTCACTGAATAACCCTACGGGAGAGTGTCTGTTCACAAATGACCAGTAAGGTCCTTTCTGAACAACTGCCAAGTTACATCAAAGCCACACATTAAAATATTTCAAAATAGCTTGATACTTGCCAAACAAACCTTGTCTATTTATTGATTGGGCCTGTCAAAGGTGACAATGAGTATAACAGCTTCCTTCTATATAATATAATCACCATCAGCTTCAATTACAGCCTT